GGGCGCGGCCGGCGGGCTTGCGGCAACCACATGTGACGACCCCGGGCTGGACTCCGCTTCGTCCACGGGGAAAGCCGATCTGCCTGTCGTTCTCCCGAAGAAAGAACATGAGAAATGAGCTGTCCGTTATTGTTTTGTAATCTCAAATCTAGTTAAAACAAAACAATAGTTCGGAGCATTTGATGATAAGAGGTACACGTCTGTATAGGGCAACACTTTTTACAGTAACTTTCATTTATATCAATACTGTGACGTTACACAATGCTGATTATAAGTACATTCAATTAAGAATAATTTATTGGAAATGGTCTAAAGATACCCCATATTATTATTTTGTATGAACTGACAATCAGTATGGTGAACTGATGTGTTATGAAGACATTTCACACAGCTTTTGCACTTTTTTTTTTTAAATCACAATATGAATATTCATTAACATAAAAACATTATGTTTGATAAACGTTTATTTAACCATCATACAGGAATGTTTGTAGAGCTTTTGGGCATGTCAAAAAGACAGAGCAAACAAAAATCTCAAACAGATGAATGTTATTTTGTTTAAAGGCATTTAAAAAAAAGTGTAAAGAGGAAAAATAATATTGTGTTGCATTGTAGGAGACAAATTAAAACTGTAGTTCTTTCAGGCGCTGGGGGCGTACTGCATGGCAAGCCTGTCAAATTCATTCTCCTGTGGGAACATAATTGAGTTTACAATGTTTTTATTAAACTTAGTACTTAATTTTTACTCAAATAATGCCTTCACAATATGCTCTCAAAAAAGAAAAACAGAACAAGATGTCCCGTCTCATTAAATAACCTTACCTTAGCAATATATTCCTTAATAAATGGATGTGACTTGTGTGCATCTTTCAGTTGAGACATGTATCGATTTGTCACCTGTGCAGAAACAAAGGAACTATGAACATCTCTGCTCTCCTTTACACAACTAATGCTTCCTCGGCATGCAGATTATAGTTTTAATCTTAAAGGTCCCCTGAAATGCATAGAAACACACAGCGTTACTCTGTGTTGACGTCATTTTAACTGAAACAGGAAGACAGGGTGGGACATATCAAGCAGCCCCGCCCCTTTTTAAAATAGCCAATAGCGTTCGTTTATCACAGCTTGGGCTAGAGCCTTTCAGAGCCGTTGAGCTCCGTAAAGCCACATTTGACAGGGTATGCCAGCCACAATCTCATCCATATTGCTATAAAATATAGCATTCTGTGTAGAATTCAAATAGCTCCGATACATTTTGTGGTCTGCGCCGACTCGCGCATGTGATCCGCTCCGCAGGCCCGGCGTCAAGGGGGGGCTTGGGGGGGCTTAGCACCCCCGCAATGATCTCGAGCCCCCCCTCCCAAGCCTGGCAGAAGAGAACGTAAAAACGTAATTAAACAAGTACAATGTGACATAAAATGTGATGTGTAATTTCGATAAAAACAAAACGTTACTAATTTTAAATTGAATCGAGTTTTAATCATACCATAACCACTAAAAAAATATCAGGCAAAAATCTGACATGACCATCAGACTGGTGGTAGGCGGAGATTTGTCTCCTAGTAACACTAGCCTATCAGGGAGCTTCTTACAATTGCGTGATTCATCAATGATGGCTAGATAGATTACCATAAGGCAGTTTAAAAATGGATATACGAAAATATATGATAAATCGGTCCCATAGTTTGCCAAATGCGACCATGCAATTGCAAGCATCCAACAGCAACGCAGTAGACACGCCAGTCGAAAAGACACCAACACCGATTGATCCTCTGCCCTCGTGCTCCAGCTCATGCACGCCTGGACCGCCAAGAGTGCCTTTCGACCTTGGTGAGGATAAACCGAATCAGGTTTTAAGTTAAGACGTTTTCCTCTTCGCCTTTGCTACAACCAGCATCGATCATTTGTTGCGTCATGGTATACGTCACGGGAGTGGTTGGAATACTCCATGGAAGCAGATGCTGCATTTTGTTTTCCATGCAGGAAATACTTAATTTCTCTATCTGACTCAGCTTTCACTGTAAGGGGCTTCAGTGATTGGAAACACGCTGTAGAGGCGGGAAAAGGCCTTAACAAACATGCAGCGTCGAAAGAACACATTACAAGCATGGCACTCTGGAAAGACAGAGAAAAACGGGCTGAAAGTGGACTTCAAATTTCCACTATGGTTAACAGTAACCAATTAGCTAGGAATCGCTACTACCTCTCCTCTGTAGTGGACATGATTGAATTTCTTGTTGTGAATCATTTGCCGCTAAGGGGAAGCACAGATGCTTTTGATTGTCTAACAGAGGATGGAAGTGGACTTTTCCTTTCATTATTCGAATATACCCTCCAAAAAGACCCAGAGTTAAGGAGTGTTATGAAGACAATACCACGCAATGCAACGTAGAGTTCTCACGAAATTCAAAATGATGTCATTGCAAACATGAGCAGTCTGGTGACTGAAGAAATAGTTCGAGAAGTTGCAGACTCGTGGTACACAATCAAAGTAGATGGCACACGTGACCCAACTGGAATGGAAAATATTTCCATAATCGTTCGCTTTGTTAAGGACAATTATCAAGTCACAGAGCGACTTCTTTCCATGACAACAACTGAAAAAGGGGATGCCCAGACCCTGACCAACACAATAATTACAGAGCTTGAAAAGAATGGGCTCAGTACTTCTAAAATATTGAGCCAGGTGTATGACGGGGCCTCTCTCATGTCCGGAAAAAACGGAGGAGTACAGAAAATTTTGCAGGACAAATTAGGAAGGTTGATTCCGTACGTGCATTGCTTCAATCATCAGCTCCATCTTGTGGTAGTTCATGCAATATCCACAGAGCCTGCGGTTGAAGACTTCTTTAATGTATGCAACTTGCTTTATAAATTCATAAAGAAGCCAACCGTTGCTATCTTGTACAGAGGGCAGCAGCTTAAGAGATTACTTGAACAGCGATGGACAGGGCATCTTCAAACGGTCAAAACAATTCTGAATTCTTTTCAAGACATTACTAAGTTGTTAGCCGAGATCAATGGAATCCGCAGATACGAGATGGAGGTGCACATGGAAGCAGCTGGCCTGATTAGGGAAGTATCAGAGACTAGCTTCAAGTTCATTGCCCACATGGTGTATAAGATTCTACAGCTGCTTGATGCTCCAAACAAACTGATGCAGTCAGAGGACATGGACCTTCTAAGTGCAGTCAAATTAGTTACATGTGCTTCAGAATGTCTTACGAAATTGCGCAGTGAATCTGACTTCTTAGAGCTGTGGGAGAATGCCGACGACACTGAAATGCCAAGACCTCCCAAACGAAAGCGGACCATCAACAAAGGCCTTCAAGAATATCTGCTGGAGGAAAGCATTGGCCAGGCTCAAGGTGATTTGGGAAATCAAGAAGAGCTCAGACGATTATACTACAGTACTTTGGACGCAGTGCTTGCAGAAATCTCAGAGCGTTTCGGAGAAAGAAATAGCAAGTTAATTGAAGCTCTTTCAGCTTTTGATCCACAGTATGACAGCACTTTCTTGGATGCGCAACTCATACAAGATATGATGAACTTAACTAATTCGGAAGTGATTCATTCAGAATTTGTTGTGGCCCGACAATTCCTGCGTAAAGTACTGGCTAGATCGATTTCTAGTGGCGAGAAATTAACACTTAAACAAATACTCCAGGAGCATCATACCACACTTGAAGCTATGCCTAGTGTACTCGCTGCAATGAAATGTGCGCTGACATTTGGAGCTTCTACAGCTACATGCGAAAACTCATTTTCTACTCTAAAAATATGTTCACGGACAAACGAAGGAGCATGCTACATCAGCGAAAGGCCCATTTAGTGCAACTGGCATTTGAAAGAGACTTGACAAGAAAATTTCGGGATGAATGGAAAGATACTCTACTGAGAAGGTTCAACGAGAGTAAGCGCCGCAGACTCCAGCTGTTCTAGCAGGTTGGTGTTATTTTATTTATTATAGAATGCGTAATTTGTTTATAACGTCATCTTATTTTAATCGTGACTTTTAAAAAAATGTTTGCGTAAAGTTTGAACCAGTTCTGATGTGCATCGGGCCAGTGCAAAATCATAATACATTTTTCTTTTTTGCGAATTGTGACGATGATTAGTAATACTAATCCCTTTTTTTTATAGGCTAAATTAAATTATATCGATACCAAATGCCCACTGACACTCACGCTATGTGCCCCCCGGGCAGAAGGGATAGCCCCCCCTGTTAAAATGTTCTGGCGCCGGGACTGCCGCTCCATGCTATTGTGTCTCTGGACCTGAGCAGAGTGTGTGTACGGTGCGGTGGTTAGTGTGACACAGCGCAAAACCAGACTTCTTTTTTTCCTCAATGGAAAGCATATTTACACTGTTTGAATCGTTCCCTGTCCCCTATATCAGTGTTTCCCAACCTTTTTTTAGTCGCGGCACCCTTTGGAAATTTTAACAAATTTGTGGCACCCTACAAAATTAATTTTGTCACAATATTTGAATTTCTAACTTCGATATGATCATTTGAAAAGTATAAAGTGTAGATACAACAGGGAAGAACTGCAGAATATAATGTCATACAGATATTTTTAATATTATAAAAAAAAAAAAAAATTCTAAATGCTTGTATTTTATTGTACCTTCACCCTTCCCCTGATTCAGTTTTAGTAACAGTGTTTTGAATTGATCTCACTGGTGTTTTCTAGACATTGGAGTAGTCTGTGTATTTGTTAGGTTTGTGCACCATCTGCGGCCAAAGTTTAATTTTGACAGAAGAGAATATGTTTTTGACTAGAATATTTGGTTTTGACCTGGAAGTTTGAGGTTTGTGCAAGTTGGTGTATAGTTTTGAGATTGTGTTTATAGTTGTGAGAAAATGGTGAATTGTTTCATGAATTGTGTGTTAGCAATCGAGAAAAACTGTAAACACATCTAGACCTGCTAAACAAGGTCTTCAGGGCAACTAGAAACTTCCAGGAAAGTGAGTTGGAGCAGGTCAGAACTATA